TGTATGATTAATTCTCTCTCTTCTTCTCCTGAAGAAGTTACCGAACTCAGGGAAAGCAGGCATTTATTGGCGAGTATATTAGGAGCGGATCCATGCTGTTTGAGAAAACTTCATGCTTGTGTGTGGAAAGGAAGATGATAGTTCTTCACAATGCTTGGTGCATAGTTCTTCTGTGAGCTATAGGCATTCAGGATGGATGAAATAGTTCACCCCCTGCTTAGCTTCTTGGAGCAAAATTTAACAGCATCAACAGAGGCTGATTGGAAGGTTTTCCTGACCTGTATTACAGCCTCACCATAGGCTTGGATAAATTCTTGGTACTTCCATCTGCCTGTTTTCTACCAGCCTTTGTTTTCTACCATTGGCTTAGGAGTCTGTCTCTTCATGTGGCATGGGGTGTCACAAAAGAACAAGGAGATCTCTGTGGACAAAGGGGAGGGAGGGATGGACTCTCTGGGGGCCAGTGTGTCAATGTTTAAGGCTAGTATACAATGATGAAGATTCACCAGATCCTTGACTTCTTGTCTCGTAGGGTGGAGTGCTGCTGTTAATCTAGTCACATTCAATAGAAACTGGCAAGCTGTAGTGTAAAAGTGCAGTTTTACTTGTTTGTACAGACTGAAGTTGTGCTATCCTAGCATGAGTCATAGACATTTCTACCCATTTTGCTAAAAAGAAATGTAATAGATTTCTTAGTGTTAGTCAAAATGAATGATGAAGTGCAAAATTCACCTTTGGTATAGCTCCATTGACAGGAATCACAATTACCCAGCAGAAAAGTTGTAAAGCAATAAAATAGTTGATCTCTGAAGGAACACAACTATTTTCTCTAGTACTTGATTGTTTTTAAATACCTTTGGCTGTGAAACCCCCTTAAACTCTTACAAAATATGTTCTTGTCCTGTGATTTTTATCCTTTTCCACATGCGAAACAGTCATATTTTTCTGTTCCTAGTGGAACACAAGCCTATATAGTTCCTTGTGGTTTATTTCCTTATTCCTTATTTATGCTTTATCATCATTATGGAAGATGTCATGAATTTGCCCAATTCAAGGGAAATGTTTGTTGTGACTGAAGAGCCAACAGAGGAAGCACATGACCATAAAATATTCTGTGTCAAATATGATGTTAAAATGTGTTGGTACCTGAATTCCAGATAAATGAGAATCTTTCTGGCTCTCGAGGTCATTCTCAAACCAAATTATAAGAATGTTTATCAGCATCCTTGGGCCCAGAGGAAGCACAGAGACATCTACAGGAAAGCCAGACATTCCTTTCTGGCCTTTTGCATAGTGAGATGAGTATGGCCATGGTAACATGTGCTTGAATGATTCTTAGCTGCTGTTATGGTCCATAGTAGCTGCTGCCCACTGGCACAGATTGAGTCAGCTTTCAGACTGATCAAATTTATGTCTGGACATCAGTGACCCCCCACAAATTGGGGAAGGGGGCAAAAACTTACTTGAAGATACTTTTGCACCTCCCATCTCCCATCCAGACTCGCATTGTGCAGTCCTTGGCTGTATCAGGGAATTGAGGCTTGCAGCTTTAAAAGCTGTGAAGATTTCCCCACCAGACATGTGATCATGATGGATCCTATATTGAACATAGTTTTCTTAACTTTCCTGTAGACTATGAAATGAAACTGGAAACACGTAGGACCATGTAGCAGAGTGGAAATGATGCTAAGATGATTTATTTTAATTTGAAGGAAAATCTCATTGGTTTTTTATTGTATTTTTTTTTATTGCTTTACAAAAAGATCTATAATTTTTGTACTTAACCTTTTTGAATGTTTCTTTACATGTGATGGTATATTAATGCAGAGCAAGTGAATGTAATATACTTGAAAAGTGGTTACATTACCCACATAGGCAGTTCAATGTGCGTGGCAAACAAAAAGTCAATTATTTTTAAAAACAGTATATAATTACACTTATTAGTTGTCAAACACGACTGCAAAGGAATCCTGACTTCAAACCAACAAGGGAAAACAACTTTTTAAAGTGAGCCCTTTTTTAGAATTAATGAAGTATCTACTAATTTTTATGATGCTACCTATACCTAAGAACATAAGAATGGTGATAGTGAGTCAGACCAATGGTTCATCAGGCCCAGTACCCTGTTTTCTGGCAGTGGCTTGGGCCAAATGCTTCAGATGGAATGAACAAAACAGGGCAATCCATCCCCCATTGTCCAGTCCCAGTTTCTGGCAGTCAGAGGTTTACGGACACTCAGTGTATAATGTTGCTTCCCTGACCATCTTGGCTAATAGCCATGGATGGACCTATCCTCCATGAACTTATCTAATTCTTTTTTTAGCCCAAAAAGAAAAGGAGTACTTGTGGCACCTTAGAGACTAACAAATTTATTTGAGCATAAGCTTTCGTGAGCTACAGCTCACTTCATTGGATGCATTCAGTGGAAAAACCCAGTTATACTATTGGCCTTTACAGTTTCCACTGACAACAAGTTCCGCAGGTTATGCAACATGTGAAGAAGTACTTCCTGTTGTTTGTTTTAAATTTGCTGCCTATTAATTTAATTGGGTGACCCCTGGCTTTTTTGTTATGTCAAGGGGTAAATAACACTTCCTTATGCACTGTCTTCTCATGATTCATTATTTTGTAGACTGCTATCATATCCCCCATTAGTCATCTCTTTTTCTGAGATGAACAGTTCCAGTTTTTTTAATCTCTCCTCATATGGAAGCTGTTTCATATGTTAAACATTTCTGTTGCCCGTCTCTGTACTTTTTCCAGTTGAAATATATCTTTTTTGAGATTGGGCAACCATAACTGCTTGCAGTATTCAAGGTATGGGCATACTGTGGATTTATATAGTGGCATTATGATATTTTCTGTTTTATTATCTATCTCTTTCCTAATGGTTCCTAACATTCTGTTAGCTTTTTTGACTCTAGCTGCACATTGAGCAGATGTGTTTAAAGAACTATCCATGATGTTTTCATAAAACCTTTTTAGCAATTGTATATTATGTACACAATATTTTAGCTAAATGGAAGCCCTGTATAGTACACTGAGGATGAGACTGGAATGCAGGAATTGCAACTCCAGTTACGACATTAACTCTTAGCATTGTCGCCAACTCCTGTGATTTGCAGGTCTTGTGATTTTGGGTGTTTTTCTTAATGTCTCAGCTTTCATTTTGTAAATATTAAGTTTCTAGATCTCATTGTGGAAGGAAGCTTGAAAACATGATCCTTAAAAACTCAGAAACCCAAAGGCAAATGAAAAGAACCCAACAATTATTATGTTTAAAAAATCATGATTTTTAAACCAATCTCATTATTCTGGAAGCCTTACTGATGATTTTTGAATGCTTAGACTGACAAGGCTGTTTATGTGACCTTGGACAAATTAATTAACTTTTGTTTAATTTTTTCTAATTGTAAAATTAGGATAATAATAGCCGGTGGCAATAGAACATGATTAATTTACTCATCTTCTATAGAAATAATATCCCAGGAAGTTGGTAAATGAAGATGAAATTAATATTTTTACATCATTTGCAATATGTAAAGCACTGTGTAAATGTTAAATATTACTATATATCGGGATGGCCAACCTGAGCCTGAGAAGGAGCCAGAATTTACCAATGTACATTGCCAAAGAGCCACAGTAATAAGTCAGCAGCCCCAATCCACTCCCCCCTGCTCCCAGCGCCCCCCACCCACTGGCAGCCTCACTGATCAGCACCTCCTGCTCCCTCCCTGCACCTTGCACTCAGCTATTTCATGGCAAGCAGGAGGCTCAGGGGAGGGGGCGGGAAGGGGTGGAGTGGGGGCAGAGCCAGGGGTTGAGCAGTGAGCACCCCTCCGGCACGTTGGAAAGTTGGTGCCTGTAGCTCCAGCCCCGGAGTCGGTGCCTATACAAGGAGCTGCATATTAACTTCTGAATAGCCACATGTGGCTCCGGAGCCACAGGTTGGCCACCCCTGCTATATACTAAAGGGTCATATTTATTATGGGTATTTAAAGCATTGCATAGGCCACATTTCATAGCCCAGGCCCTGGCCCCAGTAGCCAGGGTGGACGTTGGACAGATGCATATGAAACAAAGCCATTTTGTGGAGATAACTGCAGCCTAATGGGTGAAATAGCTGATGTGGGGAGCTTTTGTGACGTCTAGAGGCTGGGGATGGGAGGATCCATGCTGTTGCAGATCCTGCAGCTCCATCTGTCCCCATGCCTAGCCTCCACTTACCACTTTTGTGTGCTGCCATGCACAGCAGGAGCGGGTGTGCCCCTTCTTCTCTCACATCCAACCACACCTCTTGGGCAGTCAAACCTCTGGAGAACCACCCATGGAAGAGGGGGCTGCATTTGCCCTATGCCAAATAGTAAAATAAACAAACTATACTGGTATAAGGCACCTTTATACTGATATAACCATGTCTGCACTAGGAATTACTGGTATAACTATTCTGGTAAAAATTAGTGCTTCCCCACACTGAAGTAGTTATATTAATACAAAAACTGTGTGTAGACAGAACTTAGTCCACTGTGTCTGTCAAACAGACTACTCCACCTATTCACACCATGCCAGATCAAGAGTAATGTTGTTTAATGTTTAGGAATCTGCAAGCAGGAAAAAATGGGATGGCAACATAAACAGAAGCCTCTAAGAAATAATAAAACTAAAACCTCATGCAATTTCAAGCTTCCCAATGGCACTGGGGACAAATGTTCTCACCGGCACTCATTCTAGAGAAAAATCCAGTACTCCGTTGCCAGTGTGCATCAGACCCTAATCAGGAAAGGTTCATAAGATTTCTTCTTGTTTCTACTTACTTTTTCCCCCCACCCCTTTTCTCCCATAGTCACAGTGTCATTGTTCCAGAATGTTCTTTGCCAAATTAACTTATCAAAGTAAGGCTTCTTGCATGGATTTCTTTAAGTTTAGCAACACAATATTTATTTCTGTGCAATTTATTTTTATGAAAATGAATGCATACTTAAAATACTTTTTTCTTTAAGGTGGCTAATCTTGCTTGTTCACTATCAACTAATGAAGATGGAATTAAAATTGTCCAAATGGCAGCTAATCACATAGAGACTTTGTGCCCACAGGTATGACTTTTTCAATTAATTCCCATCACAAGGCATTGTGTGTAACCCATATCTAGCATAAACTCAATGTATAGGCTCATTCACTCCTAAAAATTCAGGCTAAAACAGTAATTCAAAGGGAAACTATTCCATTATTCTCTTTTTACTGTTTGTAAGAGATTGAAACTAAAGAGTAGCTAATAAACTGTATAGACTGACAGCATTAAATAATTTGGAAAAGCATACTTTGCTAGAGATATTGCTAGAAATTAACCAGGTTGGATAAACTATGCCAATCCCAAAGCCTAATTGGGGATTCTCTATGCCCGCTATAACAAATGCATATTTTTATTTTTATTTGTAACTTTGATATAATTTGATATTTTTTTATTCTTAATGCACATGGGTTTGGGATCTGCTGATTGTCTCCACCCAAGAATTATTGGGCTTTTCTTTTGGGAGGATAAATGACAAGCAGCAAAATAGCAAGTACATTTTCACCAAGAATATTCATGTAAAGGACCAAACATGCGTTTAGTATATTTGAAGGATTCAGTTTGAGTATATTATCCTGTTGAAGTAAACTGAAAGTAAAATTGAGAAATTATATTTCCTCTATTAAAAGAACTATACAGGTTTCTATGTATAGGATAGAAGTGCATCAGCCTTGAGTCTGTTAATTCAAGAAGGTTAGATCTTTAAAGAATAGTACAGCTGATGCAACACCTTTAAGGTTCTTCTCTTTTAACATGTTTGAAAGATTACTGTAGTTGAAATGGGCCACTAAAGACCAAAGATTAACAGTATTTCCTGTTACAAGATCAAGGGATCTGTTCTTCTCTCAGGTTTCAGAGTATCAGCTGTGTTAGTCTGTATCCGCAAAAAGAAAAGGAGTACTTGTGGCACCTTAGAGACTAACAAATTTATTTGAGCATGAGCTTTCGTGAGCTACAGCTGACTTCATCGGATGCATGTAGTGGAAAATACGGTGGGGAGATTTTATATGCACAGAGGACATGAACAATGGGTGTTACCATACACACTGTAACAAGAGGGATCAGGTAAGGTGAGCTATTACCAGCAGGAGAGCTGGGGGGGGGTGGGGGGCTTTAGTAGTGATAATCAAGGTGGGCCATTTCCAGCAGTTGACAAGAACGTGTGAGGAACAGTAGCAGGCGGGGAATAAACATGGGGAAATAGTTTTACTTTGTGTAATGGCACATCCACTCCCAGTCTTTATTCAAGCCTAAATTAATTGTATCCAGTTTGCAAATTAATTCCAATTCAGCAGTCTCTCATTGGAGTCTGTTTTTGAAGACTTTTTGTTGAAGAATTGCCACTTTTAGGTCTGTTATTGAGTGACAAAAGAGATTTATCCTTGCAACAAAGCCTGTTGCCAACTGTGTCCACATATCCATTCAGGGGACACCATCATAGGGCCTAATCACATCAGCCACGCTATCAGAGGCTCGTTCACCTGCACATCTACCAATGTGATATATGCCATCATGTGCCAGCAATGCCCCTCTGCCATGTACATTGGTCAGACTGGACAGTCTCTACGTAAAAGAATAAATGGACACAAATCAGAGATCAAGAATTATAACATTCAAAAACCAGTCGGAGAACACTTCAATCTCTTTGGTCACTTGGTGTTTTGAGTATGAATTATTAATGATTGTGGAGCACTTCCAATTAAAACAACAACATAAAATAAAATAAAACAGATGTACATATGCCAAATACTAATTATTAATAATTTATTAATACTGCAGAATTTATTCTTCTCTTACTAAAGCAACATTCCTAGTGAAAGCAATGGATATTTTACCTGAGTAAGGACTAAGAGCAGCACAATTAGGTCCATGGGCTTTAATAATGGCCCAGATCATTTGTTATCAGAAAAAACCCTCCGAAGGGGGAAAGAATGCTCTGAGAATCCCTGCAGCCTCCATGGAACCTGGAGGGAGGAGATCTGCATGCAGCATGTCTCCTATACGCTCGAATCCCTGTGGGGGACAAAATTAGCTGTGGATTGTTTTTACCATTATGCCATGTAGGCATTTCTTTGTGTAAGCTAAATTGTTTGATGGGAACCATGGTAGTTTAATTGAAATCTGAAAAGGTTGAATTAAAAAAATCCTTGGGGCCCCAGAATGCTGCAGGTTTGAACAGTAACATTATACTGTGGAAAAATAGATATAGAATTTTCCACCCTCAGAGGAAAAATATTCATATCATTAGAATTCATAGATATAGACTCATATTACATAGGCTGTCCTGCACTGCAGCTACAATGAGTAGGAGTGATTCTGAACTGTGGTAGCAATGCGGTTACTCAAATGGAGACTATAAGCATATGTCTTGATATTGCTCACATATAAAAAATACATTGTGGATCTACACCAGAACAGATAGATAGCATTGCTGTTTACATAATTACAGTAGTTCCTGAATTATGTGCCTTCCATACACTTAATGTGGGGGATCTCTTTGAAGAACGTTTAATGTAGATAAATGTCATCACTAAGATAGCAAATAATTAAATAGTAGCTGCAAATAAAAAGAGATACTTTTCTTGTTACTAGTTGTTTTGTTTTGTACTAAATAATTCTTTTACAGACGCTTTGCAGGCTCAGTAAAAATCCAATATTGATGAAGCTTCTACATAGCAATCACGTGTAACTTTTCTTGTATATAGTGAAAAACATGACATTGGCACACGTGGGAAATACTCCCCTTTTATGTTGCAGAGATAGAAATTTGGCAGAAAATTTCCTAATCCATTTCCTAATCCATCTATTTTACACTGTGTGTACAGTGATTCTCACTACAAAGGTTCTTGGGTTTCTCTACAGGTGTTGCTCTAGGACAGACTGGGACCCTCTTACAGATGGCAACTAAACTATTCAGAAATAGGGGAAATGTAGAAGTTAAAAGATTGGGATTTCCCAGAGAAAACAGTACTATATGCAGTACTAAGCTGTTGGAGTGGGTGGGGTTGAAAAGGTTGGGTTCCTTTGCTTCTAGGTTCTTGAGGTTTCTTATTGCTCTCCCCTTCCCTGCCCCTGCGCCTGCCCCTGCCCCTGCCCCGCGGGTAGATGAAACAAGGGATCTGGTCTGCATAATTGTCCATTAAGAGGAGTTGCACAGGAAAAATCATGAGAATTTAGGAGAACGAAGAACCAGCCTGTCTTCTATGGGAGAGTCAAATCCTCTTCTCTAAGGCCTTTGTGGTTCTTCCGCCTTTTCTCTGAGTTGCTCTCAGGGTTTGTCTACACTGCAATTAAAAACCCACAGCTGGCCCATGCCAGCTGATTCAGGCTAAAGGGCTGTTCACCTGTGGTATAGATGTTCAGGCTTGGACTCTAGGATCCAACTTGGGCTGCAGCTGGAGCCAGAATGTCTACACCACAATTAAACAGAATGTCTACCCCTTAGCCCAAGCTCTGTGATCCCAAGTCAGCAGGCATGGGTTAGCTATGGGTGTCTAACTGTAGTGTAGACATACCCTCAGCGGTGTGATCTACTGATAGAGCCCAAGAGCAGGGCTGCTGGCTCCAATTAAATCCCCATTCTTTCCCTTCTGACTCCTGCTTCCTCATCCATATTCTCAGTCTCTGCCCATGTGCAAAAAGTGAAAAACTGGAAGAAAGTTTGAATTAATATTTTTTCCTAACATTTTGTTTTTCATGGCAATATGGTTAATATAGTTATGACTTTTACCATGGTTGATGCTCTGTTAAACATCCCCATCAGAGCACAGCTTCTTAATTCCAACGCCCCAATCTGGAGTAGAGAGAGACTTGATATTTTGTTCATATGCGTGTAAATATAGCTTCTGTAAATTTATTCTTTTAGTCAGCTTATCCTTTCTCTGGATATGTGGTGATAAATTGAGAAAAGCTGTATTAGGAGGATATATAAGGAGTTCACCTCTTTTGAGTGTGAAGTTATCTTTAACAGTTTAAATACTAATAATTAAATAATAATCATGGAACACCTTCCTGGTAAAACAAAAACAAGTTTATATCCCTTGACTTGCCAGAAATGTATATAAGCTATTACTACCAGTCCATTCTTTCTTTGACTTGAACCCGATGACAGGATATTTCTAGAACAGGTTTATGAACTAATGCAGAAAGTTTGCAGAAAACACATTTACAGCAAAACAAAATTTCCTTTTCCAGAGATTGGTCTTATCTGTGTAATATAGATAACATGGAAAGAAAAATGATTATCTTAGAAAAAGTGAAAAACAATATTAAATGGGGCAGGACACAAAAACTGCTATTTGTATTCATGCCTGATTTTGGGTCAGAGCCAGTGTTCACGTTCAAATATGAATATTGGCTCTAAAGGCTGAGCATATTGAGAACAGTTTATCATTCCAAGAGAAATATTGTTTGTTTGTATTGGGCTGCACTGGGCAATTCTGTGCATGCAAAAATTAGAGCCAGGGACAATTATGTAAGAGATGAATGGTGAAATCCTAGTTTTCTATGAAGGACCTATGCAAGGGTGAACGTGTGGAGCAGGATTATACATATTTGTTACAAGAGCCCCCTTGCCCAAAGAGGCCTGAATGGATTGAGGGAAGAGAGACTTATGGGGCAGGATATGCTGCAGGGGTTACCTTACTGCTCACTTTTGAAAAAGAACAACTACACACCCGACTAAGCACATGCACACACACAACCAGCAAACATGCTGCAGATTTCAGTGTACGGGGTAGCTGGCTGAGAACCAAGATATGTGCCCTAGCTGCCACTGATGCTATGTTACCTGATATGGAAGCTGGCTTCCTCTTAGTCTCCTGACACTCTCCTGAGTCCTAGCTAGGGATTCTACTGCTTGTGAGAAGCATTCAGACCTCCATTCTCCTTTCTAACATCACAGCCACATATTCCAGGCTGGGCTTTGCCTCTAGGTATTTATAAAGCAAAGGATAAATGGGGATTTTCAAAGGCACAAATTATGGTTAGGCACTTAGCTCCCATTGACTTTCAATTATTCCTATT